AAGGAGGGCATCTAGGGATGTGGCAGAGCAGATGGGACGGTGTCTGTCTCTGGCCCCCATCCTCAGCACGAGGAGCCGTGTACCTGGGAGCCGGAAGCTCTGTCCACAGCAGGTGTGTGGAGGCCCTATTTAGGTGAGCACTGGTTGGGCGGGAGGATTCCCAGGGTTATCTAGGAGCACAGCTCTCGCCTCATGCGGGTCTTCACCTGCTGCCTGTGTCTCCATCCACAGAAAGGCAGCTCTGGGAAAGAGGATTAGGTGGGTCGCCTGGCAACCAGAGCTGGCCTCACCTCCCCCAGGACTTACATACACACCCCACAAACACCAGCTCAGGCTCCAGTCCTTTCTCTTGTCTGTGATGTTTTCTCTCCAAGAAACTTCTCAGGGGTGGAAAGTGCATTCAAAGAGGAGGGCAGGGAGAGCTGTGGAGGGTCGTCTTTCATCTCTGCCCTGCCCACCTTAGTGCCTTTCCGGAAATGCTTCTGCTTCAGGCGCTCTCATTCCTGGCCAGCAGGATCCCAGCTACAACCACTACCACGGTGTGCTCCAGCAGGGGCTGACCCCAGAAAGCCAGGTAAGAGGGAAGCATGGGCAGCGACTCTTCAGGAGCCCAGGCTAGGCTGGGTTAGCCCTGCTCGTCGCCTGGACCTGGGAGGGCTGGCAGGCCAGGAGCTAGGGAGTACCTGGGGCCAGGGAAGCTTCTTCAGGCCTCATTAGGTGGGCCCTGTAGGGTCCTTGACATCACAAGCTGCTCTTTGTTCATGAACTTCTGAGAAGCCAAGGCTTCCGTCTACTTGGGGACCAATAAGACCCTCAGGGACGAACCAGGCTCCAGCATCCGTTGTAGTGCAGGAAGAAGGAAAGGGAGCCCTAAGCTGCGACTCTGTCATTGGTTTGAGAACCACAGTCTGAGCTCCTCTGAGTGACCTGGCCCTGTTAGAGGCAGGGCACAGGGGCAGGGCTGGGCTGCAGCAGCCACCACGATGTGCAGGTGATGGGGGAGGGACATCCCTTTGACTGGTAAGACTGTGACTCTCCAGTAACATGTTGAGGAACACAGCCAGGTCAGGGCTGTGCAGGCTGGAGCTCCAGAAGGAAGGTGTGCCCAGATTTGTGACCCTCCCCCCCCCAGAAAATCAACAGGAGTCTGAAGTCATGCAAGTGCATAAGGGCAGTTTATTCAGGTTAACCTAGGCTCCCCCATTCCCCCGCCCTGCCCAGCCCAGCAGAGCTGGGGGACAGGGGCAGCTGTAACCAAAGCTGCCGCAGAAACAGCAGGACAGGAGGAAAAGAAAGTGAGGTTGAACAGAACAGAGTTCTTATACATTTCAGGCAAATTCAACACAATTACACAGTCATGATTGGTCAATTTATCTCTTAACTTTTGAAAAGAGCAAGTTGGCAGGCTTCTGTTGTTGGGTCTGAAGCAAGCAACTTCCAAAAAGTACAAACTGGTGGGCTATAGGGCAGTGAGCAACTTATCTAACAAGCAAAATAGGGGTCTCCTTCCTGAGGAATGCTCTGTCTGCGTGACCTGCCAGGTGTCACGTACAGACTGCCAGGCCTGGGGTTCACACAGCTCCCAGCCAAGCAAGCAAGGCAGAAATCACAAAAGCAGAAAACACCTAGGTTCTTCACAGCTAGACTGGGACAGCAAGTCTGGGCTGGGACTATGGGATCAGGCTTGGGTTTCTTGGGGACCAGCTGCTCTCACCCCTCCCGATTTCTCCTCTTCATCACAGTGATAAGGACTGCCATTTTTCCATCCATCCATCCATCCATCCATCCATCCATCCACCCATCCATCCATCTTATTAAATGCACCCTCTGTGCCAGCAGATTCAACAGAGTTCACAGCCTAGCCTAGTTGAGCAGGTGGGGGTGGGGAGTGCAGGGAGGGGAGTTGGGAGAGTGATACAATATCGTGTTGTCCTGATGACAGGCTCTGTGCTGGCCCTGGTGACCGTAGAGGTGAGTGCCACTCCAGTGGGGGCAGATGCAGGGAGGAGTGGGTCCTTGCGATGGGTCCTGGGAGGTGAGCAGGGGTGTCAGGCAGCCAAAGGACCCAGATCAGCCCTAGGGGATGTGGGGCAGGGGGTGGGGATGAGTCAGACCAGGCTTGTAGGATTATAGGGTTTCCTTGATGCTGAAGAGAAATAAGGCTGATTTATAACCTGTGAAGTTAGCCGTGGAGCTTGGAAAACAGGGCGGGGAGGAAGATTAGAAAGACAGGGCAGAGTGGGGGGCACCTACTGTGAGGCCTCTTCCCAGCCAGCCCCCCTGCCCAGGGAAACCTGGAGCAGGTGTGGACCAGCCCAGAAGTCACGTAGGCCACTGGGGCAGTCCCATGCAGACACCAGGCTCCCAGCCCAGCTGTTGGAGCCAACTCCACAGGAGGGTGAGGTGAGAGGGGGGTCCCCTGGGTGTGGGTCCCTTTATACAGAAACATCAGCCACTGCAGGCTGCACCTGTCCCTCAGTTGCTGGCTGGTGCTCGGGCAGGGCCTGGTTGCTCATTAGAGGCGCCACCACTCTCATTCCTCCTGTGGGCATCACAGCTTTGCTTCCAACTCCAGTGGCAACCGCACTTCCTCCCCCACCCCTTATTCCCACCACTGAGACACCTGGTGCCTCTCTGTCCCTGACTGCCTGGAGCCAGGGACACCTTGTCCCTTGGGCCCGGGAGGCTTCCTAGTGTGTGTCTAATGAGCCACAGCTGCTGGGGTGTCACCGGGGGCAATGCACAGGACAGGGATGATCAAAAATAGCTCAAAGTGGGGATGTGAGGCAGGAGGGGGAGGATTGAAGAGGAAGTGGTGGAGGAGAGAGAGCGGCTGAGGGAACAAAGAACAGAGGACCTAGGTTGGAAAGATAGTAAGCAGAGAGGGGAGAAGATGGCCTCATCCTGATCCCTGAGTGGATCTGCACCCCCTCTTGAGATGGGGGACCCGGCTGTCCCCAGGCCGGGACCAGAAGCCTGGGTTGAGGCACCAGGCCAGGCAGGTGGAGCTTTCCCTTTTGCGCTCCAGGTCTCCCTGTGGGACTGTGAAAGCTGACCCTGTTCTCTGACGACACAGCGCAGTTCAGTGAACATAAAGGAACCGGGTTCTGTTGAGATTCAGGGGCGGGGGTGGGGAGGGGTGGTCTAGTCCTCTTTGTTCTTCTGTATCAACATGGAAGATGATAACAGCTCCTGGCAGATCTATCAGTCATCATGATTGTATCTTAGTGAGCAGCACACGTGGTGCTTTAAGGATAACAAGTTCAAAGACAATGATGTGATCTTGGCTGGAGATAAGGGCTCAGGTGCTGGGAGGGCGTGGCCACACCACTGCTGGCTCTGTGGCCCTCCCTCACCTCTGGGGAAACGTAAGTTACAGGTTAGTGAAAGTACAGGTGATATCGCTGCCCCGTGCAAGTTCATAAATCTGAATTCTCCCCAGGACTCCTGGGAATCTGTGCCCAGGCTGCCTGGGGGCCATGCACCATGTTGACTGCACCCAGCACACCCTGGTCCCAATCAAGGGTCAGGGCCTGGGTGCTCTGGGCCGAGTCACTGCCTCTAGAATCCATGTGTCTCACCTTTGCTGCCTCTCGGTGCCTACTGGCCCTCTCTACTCCTCCCTGCCACCATCGCTCCCCCTTCTTTGCCCTTAAGAACTTAATCAGACTGTCTGAGAGCCTCCGGGGGGGAGCAGCTGGCACCAGGGACAGAAATAGCTGCAGCATGCCCTGGCAGGGTGGCAGAAGGGGGGCGGACACGGTTCAGAATGTTTTCCTGATTCTCTGGCAGGGGGAGGGGGAAGGCAGGGATGAGGTCAGTGCTTCTGCCCGCCCCCCACACCCAGGATGCCCGTGGCACTGTCTCCTGGCCTCACCCCCGCTTCATGGCAAGGAGTTCGCCTAAGGAGACTTGTTCACTTTCGGAGGGTTGTCAGTCTTTGCCCATCGCCCCTCCCCCTGCTGGGTAGACAGGGATTAACACCACTCATATACCCCCCCACACACCCAGTGCCCACGCAGGCACTACACCCAGCCTCCTTATGCGGGGCTGACACATCCTCCAAGCCACGCTGGACAGGAAGGGTTCCAACAGCCAGTGGGAGGGGGCGCACCTTGAAGACCCACTCTGGTGTCAGCTGGGGACTGTTGCATCCCTTCCTTTCCTTGAAGTCATCAGTCAGTCACAATTGCATTTCTGAAAGCCAGCCACCAGGGCATGCCGGCCATGGCAGCTCATTCACATATTCATTCATTCATTCACTCATTCATTCACCTGGTCACTCAGGCATTCATGACACCTGCTTGAGCAAGATCCTATGGAGTACGACAACACTCACACCTGATGCTCTCCTGTGTGCATCTCACCTGCTCTCGCCTGGCCCACAGCAGGTCCCCCCACACATACCTGAACCCCTCATTTCTCCCGCTGTCACCCACACAGCTTCTCTGGCCACTCCTGCTCTTCACCCATCAATCCTGACTCTAAGTCCGCAGTCTTCCTCTTCCCCCACCCCAGCCACAGTCCCTTCTGTCCCTCCCACTCGCTTTTCCTCTTTTACAACATGAATGAGTGTTGATAGATGAAGGAGGAGTAGGTTGGGGTTTCCAGGATAGCACTGACCCTGCCCAGCACGAAGTTCAGCAGCGGGCTGGAGGCAGGCCGAGAGCATCTGTTCTATGTGGTGTGTGTGCCCAAGTCACAGGGCTGTGTGCAGTGCTTCCTGCCTTGTTTGCACTTGGTGCTTTTCAATCATCAGATGTTTCTTCATTGCCTTGATGGAGTGCTTGGAGGGCACCACACTTAGCCCCACTGCTTTTGTTCTTCCTACAGTCCTGTGCTGTCTCACAATTAGACACGGTTGCTCAGAGAGGTTAAGCCACCTACCAGAGGCCGCCCAGCTCTGAGGACAAACGTGGATCTCCCCACCTGGATCCTAGTTCTCTTCCAGCCTTAATCTCGAGAGGTCCTGGGAAGAACCCCCTTCCGCCCCAAGGGTCATGTCCCTCCTCGCGTGGCTGGGGTGGAGCGAGGCCCCTTCGCGCCTGTCGTCACGGAGCCCGGCTGACATGGTGCTAGAGACGCTCATGATGGAGCTGGCCGGGCAGATGCGCGAGGCCGAGAAACAGCAGCGCGAGCGCAAGCAGGCGGTACGCAAGGTGTGCACGGGCGTGGACTACAGCTGGCTGGCCAGCGCACCGCGGCCCTCCTATGACCTCAGCCCCGGCGAGCGGCTGCAGCTGGAGGACGTGTGCGCCAAGATCCACCCGTCCTACTGCGGGCCCGCCATCCTCCGGTAAGCCGATTGCAACCCGCGTGCTCACTCGCTTGCTGAGGCGAGGATGGCTGCGGAGGCGCAGACTAGAGGCCTCCAGAACCCGAGTCAGGGGCGTGCGAGGAAAGAGACAGGAAAACGAATTACAAAGAGGTCCCAGGTCTGGGATACCGGTTCTGAGGGAGGCACTGGGCAGCTCCAGGAGACTGGTGAGTTTGGGTGTGTCTGTCCATTGTCCCTTGCACATCCATTTGAAAGGCAGAACTACACACACACTGATCCTCCAGCTACTGGATCACCCTGCAAATATCTGTAACAGCCAGAGTTGGGCCGGACTGAAGGGGGCAGGGAGGAGGGGAGCGGAACTCTATCTGGGTCTCTACATGGGTAGCAGGGACACAAACACTTGGGCCATCATATGTTGCGTCCCCAGCACATTAGAAAGAAGCTGGATTGGAAGTGGAGTAGCTGGGACTCAAACCCATTTTCTAACAAGGAATGTCCACCCTGCAGGTAGATCTTCACCCTCTGTGCCACAACAACAGCCCCTCCTCAGTTAGCATAGCTCCCCCCTTCAGTTCCATCTTATCATCTTAGATCTTCCGTGGCATCTCTCCTCCACTGCTTTCATGTCCCTGTTCCACACAAGGAGTGAATGTGAAAGGCTCAGAAACACCATCCCACACTGGGAGTCAGAGCATTCTCACCTGGGATGCAACCCTGCTCCTGCACTTTACCGTGACCATGACCTTACCATGGCCTGGGCCCCTGTCACCCAGGCTCAGCTAGAGCGACATTCAAGTTGGGGAAGCACCCAAGCAAGCCAGAGTAATTCCTAACCCACCGCAGGCCTCTGTGCACATGCCTCTTTGTAAAGGGGCACAAGGCAGTGTGCACAAGCCCTGCCCAGCCCTGCCCTTGAGCCCTGGCCTGTGCCTACCACCCACTGTGTACCTGAGAGCGCCCGGCCGTTATTCTCCAGCCCCATCCACGCTCCTCAGGGCTTCTCTTGCCTTCTCTTCCTTCTTCCTCTGAGCCGAGACTCCTCCCCTCCCCCATTTGTCTGCTCATTCCCCGTGAAAACCTCCCAGAACCCTGCTGGGGGGAGAGGGGGAAGGGGCGTGTCCGGGGGGGCAGTGTAGAGGGTTTCTTAGCCATCTGCCAGACCTGCTAAGTGAGGGGGCAGGCTGGGCACAGGCTGTAATGCCCCCATGGTCACACTTCCTGCCATGCGTGACCCTCCTGAACACGAATAGATAGACATTCATTCCTCAGCTCTGGGCAGACATCCCAGGACAGGGAAACAGCTTGGGGGCATCCAGGAGAAGTTGGTGCCTGAGGGCTGCCAGGTTTCTGGAGGGGTATAAGCAAGGGGTCCCTGTGCATGGCCCAACAGCTCACCCTCACCCAGAGGGTGGGGGGGTATGGAAGGAAAGGACCCAGAGACCACAGGACCAGCAGGTGGAGAGGTCAGGGGAGGGCCAGCCACAAGGCCTGCCAGGGACCGAGGAGGCTGCCAGACAGCGCACTGCCTCTGCCAAGTGTAGCTGTGACCCCAGATGCAGATGGGAAAGCCGAGGTCCCTGGAAAGCGGAAGACAGTGCAGAATTTGAGGTCCTGGCAAGCTTTTGCAGAAGCTAGGCAGGAGACTGACTCGGGAGCAGGAAGGGAGAGGACGCACACGGAGGGGCCCTCAGGGTGGCCGCGGCCCCACACAGCCCGCTCTCTGCTTGCCCAGGTTCCGCCAGCTGCTGGCCGAGCGGGAGCCTGAGGTGCAGGAGGTGGCCCGGCTCTTCCGCACCGTGCTGCAGGAGGTCCTGGAGAGAATGAAGCAGGAGGAGGAGGCCCATAGGCTGACCCGTCAGTGGAGCTTGCGTCCACGCGGCAATCTGGGCACCTTCAAGACGCGCGCGCGCATCGCCCCCTTCGCCAGCGACATCCGCACCATCTCGGAGGACGTGGAGCGCGACGCGCCGCCGCCGCCCCGCACCTGGAGCATGCCTGAGTTCCGGGATCCCAAAGCCGACTGACTGGGAGACTCCAGAGGGCTCCCTCCTAGAAACCGTGAGGTGCAGCAACCTGGGCCCTCTCCAGGGGCGCTTCCTCTGGATCCTTACCCATCCTCCAGTCCTGCCTTGTTTGACAAGCCCTGGCGCCTCACCCCAATTTCAGGACTGTCTCGCTCACCTCCTCCTCTCCCCAGGGACCTGTGGGATGGTGTCGTTTCTCTGCAGGTGACTTGGCTGACCCACTACTGTAGGTGGCTCCCAGTCCCGTGGGCCCGCAGGGCTGAGAGGGATCCTGGCAACTGTGGGATCAACTGTCCGCACCTAGGGAACAGGGAACCCGAGCCTCAGCCCTGGAGGACATGTTCCTCCAGCTGCACCAAGCAGGACGGGGTGGATCCTGTACCCACAGTCTCCGCCCCAGGCTTTGAAGCCCAGCTGTGCTGGGACAGGGCGGCCCTGCCGAGGGGTGGAGGGCTGATGGGGTGGAGCCAACCTGCCCACTGCCCCACCCACAGCCTCATCACCTGGGCTCTGACCAGCCCTCCCAGGTTCTTCCCAGCCACCTTCTAGACCTGCTGTGCTAGACGCCTGGCTGCACTCCAAGGCTGCCCCTCTCTCTGGTCACACTTGCTCTCTGGCTTTCTACAGAAAGCGATGCCCAAACCTCTAACTGACCTTGTAGCTGGGTGAAATGTTCTAGAAATGGATCCTACAAGCACCACAGAGCCTTCATTTTCTTTCTTTGCTTCCATCCTTTTTCATTCCTTCCTTCTTTCAGAATTATTTTTTTTTTTCTATTGGAAAGGCAGATTTACAGAGAGAAGGAAAGACAGAGAGCAATCTTCCACCGCTGATTCACTCCCCACTGGCCGCAATGACTGGAGCTGAGTTGATCCGTAGCCAGGAACCAGGAGCGTCTATGGGTCTCCCACATGGGAGCAGGAGCCCAAGGACCTGAGCCTTCCTACACTGCTTTTCCAGGTTGTTAGCAGGGAGCTGGATTGGAAGTGAAGCATCTGGGTCTAGAATTAGTGCTGATATGGAATGCTGGTACTGTGGTAGAAGGTTAGCCTACTATGCCGCAGTGTAAGTGGATCTCAATAGCCATCTCAAAAAAGTGTCAGAAGGAGGGTGAATGACAGGGGAAACTTCATATATTCACTGACCGTGGCTAGAGGAGAAAACATCCTTCTATATCGAATTGGTTTTGGATTCCTTTCACTGAGTCTGGATGGAGAATCAGGCAATGGCAGAAACTTCCTACCTGCCACTGTCAGGATGAGTTGATGAACTTGTGAACATAACTGGTGGGAGCTGAGAACCACATAAATAAAAACATACAGCTTAAACATCCTATGTATTTTATTTGAAAACATGAGAGTTCATTTCATCGCCAAGCTTTGGCTGGTGCTCTGAGCTGGCCTCACTTTATGTGGCAGGTCGTTTGATGCGGCTCCTACATTTGAGTTGTATTGCTTCATGTATGTTTTGGAACAATAAGAACAGAGGCATAAACAAGTAACAGAAATCGCTGTTAGGTGACAGGGGACGAGGACAACAGGGGCCTCTAACACGCGCCAGGAGGGTGTGTCAGGGAGGCCGGCAAAGAGGCCCCTGTTGTCCTCGCCCCCTGTCACCTTTCCTGCCCTACAGCAAGTTCACGGGAAATGTGGATCATGGAAAAACCCATGCATGGACTTCAAAACTGCTTTGTACCTAAATAATCCTATATTTAAAATGAATTCTTTGAGAGGCAGAGGGAGAGAAACAGAGCAAGAGAGAGCAAGTGAATATTCACCTGCTGTTTCTCTCCCCAGATGCTGGCAACAGCTAGGGCTGGGCTGGGGCCACAGGCAGGAGCCAGGAGTTCAATCCAGGAGTTCAGTGGCCTCCCACGTGGATGGCCATTATTGACGCCTCATTGGGATACACTGTTACAAGCAGTGGCTTAGCTCACAGCACCACAACACTGGATCCAGACATTTCTCACACACAGCTGCTCTGTCTTCCACTGTTAATCCTAAAAACAATTAAAAGTAATTCATACCATCTGGTACCTAGTCCACACTCACATTTTCTTAACTATTCCGAACACACGATTCTCCCCAACTTATTTTTAAAAGATTTATTTTTATTGGAAAGTCAGATTTACAGAGAGAAGGAAAGAGAAAGATCTTCCATCTGCTGGTTCATTCCCCAAGTGACTGCAATGGCCGGAGCTAAGCCGATCAGAAGCCAGGAGCCGCTTTCAGGTCTCCCTCTTAGGTACAGGGTCCCAAGGTTTTAGCCCATGTTCTGACACTTTCCAGGGCCACAAGCAGGGAGCTGGATTGGGAGCAGAGCAGCTAGCATACAAACTGGCACCCATGTGGGATCTCGGCGAGTGAGGGGTGGGGGGACTTTAGCCACTAAGTCATCGTGCTGGGCCCTGAATAAAGATTTAATTGAACCCCCACTTATAGGCAAGAAAGATGCAATTTGGTCATAGAGTGTTAGTTAAACAATGAAGGATTGTTTAGACAGAGAGCTCATGGCACATGCCATATTATGCTTGTGTTAACAACATGCAGGAAGCTAAAGGCTGCACACCAACCATATGCAGATTAACCTAAAATTGCTGCCATCAGCGTCACTTAATTAGAACTCTCCCACAGCAACCGCAACCCTCTAATACTTTGAAAAAATGTAAAAAAGGGATGATGACAATTGTCTAATTTGATGCTTCAGTTGATGAAGCTACTTGCCACTCATGTTTTATTTTCCGACACATCCTTGCAATGAGTGACCTTTAACCTTCTTCCCTTTTATCAACATTTCCAAATAAAACACTAAAACTTAGGGAAAAAAATAAGTCAGGGGAACTCTCAAGAATTCCAACAACTGGTAATGAAAAATATTTATGTCTATTTCCCATGCCATCCCTCCTCCTCCTCTTCTCATCTCCCCTGCCCTCCCTACCCACCCTCGACTCTCAAGCTCCACCTCCTGTGTGGTGGAGTTGATTATTTTTAGTGTGGTCTCAGCTCCCTACCACTAGGAAAGATAACTGCCGGGGCTCCCAAGTGACCCCAGTTTGGTCCTCCCGACCCATATACATTAAGCCCAGAGAAAGACCTGGTAGGAGGGCATGGTTATGAGTTCACAGAACCTTCTTCATGCTCCTGGGCTCACAACTAGATGGAATTCATGACGATGGCCACGAGACTGAGTGAGGTTGCTGGAAGTTCCACTTCTAAACTTGGCTTATTAAAAACCTCCCCAGAGTGAGTACCTGTCCTCTCTCCCCAGGTGCTGGCTGAATGGGGGGGGGGGGCTCCAAGGTCTGGGAATCGGGGAGGAGAACCCCAAGAGAGAAGTAGCCAGGGTCTGGAATGACCGCCTGTAGGGCCACGTTGACTGAGGTGAAGTCCTGCTGCAGTTCTGTTTGTCTCACAACTTCGACAGCTGCTGGTCTGTAAGCAGCACATCCTTTGCCCTATCCAGGGTGTCTGCCGCCGCTGGAACAGGGGCTGTTGCTGGGGATGTGCACCATGACTGGCCTAGCTTAGGTCATGTGGACTTCTCAGGGCCTGGGGCACCAGAGCACAGACGCAGCGGGATCTCTACAAGAGAAAAGGGAGGTTCTGCTATAGGAAAATGAATGAGACAGTACAAGAGGCAGTGCCTGCTCCCCAAATCAGCTTCCGGAAACACTGAGAACCTCTGAAGCCTGCGTGGTTTACCTTGTGAAGTTCTTGGGAGCTTCCTACTAAGTAAGATAGTTCTTTTTCTTATTGACAGTTGCAGCTTCAACAACCTGAAGTTGCCTTTGCTCCGGTACCAAGGCAGTTCATAGAAGTTTCCACCCCACCTTTCTTCTTGTCAAGGGTCACACAGAAAGCTCCAGGCATAGAACGACTAGAAATTTCCCACAGCTGCCTAACCCCCTGGGCCATCTCATCCTCCACCCACACATAGATACACAGGGAGAAATACAAGCAGTCCCCCTGGTCCCAGGATGCAGTCACTCACTGTCACCTGCTCTCTGGAGGACTTGTCACTTTGAATTTTCTCCCTCTGCCACCCTGTCTTCTCTACCTGGAGAGAAAGAGTTTAACAGTACAGATAAAAATGGCTGCACATGCTGTACTATGTTCTACAAAACATTTCTCCCACTTAGGTCTTCACAAATCATTCCCTCGTATCCGAGATAAGCATGGCCACTCCGTCGACCAGCCAGTATTGTGGGGAGGTCAAAATAACACCAAAGACAAGCTCAAAGGAGCCCTCAGGTGAAGGTCTTCTGGCTGTGCGGGACAGTCTTCCCTTCTGCTGGTCACACTGAGGGTCTTCTTCACCCTCCTTCTGCAGGAGGCCCTGTATTTTTTATTTAATTCCTGTTCTTCACCCCAGTATTTTAGCTCTGATGCTCTCAACATGATGAGATCATCTGGGAATTTTTGTATCTGCAGGCACCCAGAGCTCTACATGGCATCCTGACTTGAGTTTTGCTAAAGTTTTCTGAAGGATTCCGCTGTGCAGCAGAGGCTGAAAGCCATGTTGTTGTTTTTTTTTTTTCTTAAAGACAAATAGAAATTTACAATGCCATGAAGTTGAATAGCATGTTATTAGATATGACAGTCTCCGTTACACAGCTACTATACACTCCCTTAAATGAAAAGCCACAAAACAAAATCAATATCAGGAAGAAAAAAGAAATTAACAACACCATGAAGTTAAATAACATGCTTTTAAATAACTGATGTGTAGCTGAAGAAATGAAAATCAATAACCTTCTTGCAAAAAATGATGCTATTGTATGATCTATGAGTCATTGAAGAATTTAATCAGAAGAAAGCGTTTTGAAGAGGTGAAACTAACTGAAGACATCAAAACCCATGCGATATAGCTGCTACTGATTTTTGTTGGTGAAATGTGTCTCCTGTAGGCAACAAACAGATGGGTTTAATTTTTTAATCCAATGTACTAATCTATGATGTTTGATTGAGCTTAAGCCGTTTACATTCAGGGTTAATATGTAT